GATGCAAATGTCCAGTTTTTCCACAAAAGTACAAACTTTCCTACTTGGTAGATCTACGTATGTTTTCTATTTACCTTTCCTTTTGGATTTATACCCAAGTCCTTTAGTTCTCTTGACTTGAGCATCTTTAATCCATTTAGGAGTAGCAGTAGGATCAATACTTCTACTTTTTCTACCTTGCAGTTCCTTTTCTAATCGATCCATATGAGTTTTCAAATTATCAAGATCTAGCTTGAGTTTTTCAAAATCGACATTGAATTTCTACATTGAATCATTAGAGGAACTGCTGGAGTTAATGTCAGTATTGACAAGTTTATACTGTGATAGTTCTACATTTTCCTTTTTAATTTTTTCAATCATCTCATACGAAGAAATTTATCATGTAGTTCTCAAAATCTAGTTTAAATATCATTTGGTGTTGTTTCTAACCAAACACTGTGAACTTTCCAGTTTTATGGAACCTTTTGACATTCATTCTTTGCATGCATTCATCACTTAGATTAACTTTCATTTCAAAATTAGATCAATCAATGCATCCTTGGATAAAGTTCTAAGTTGAGCAGTATCAAATTTACTTTCACTTACCTCCTTTTCAAGTTCTTGAGGTATGCATGCCTATCATTTGATTTGACCATCAAGCACAGATTTGCAACTTCCACTTCTAGTTGATCTTCATCTTTTTCACTTTCAGAGGCTCCCCATGCAGCTATTATAGCTTTCTTGACATCAGTCTTTGAAAAGGGAGTCTTGTTTTATTCTTTCCCTTGTTCCTTGGCCTTCCCTTTTCCTTTCTCGATTTCCCAATGAGGACAGTCTCTGATGAAATGATATGTTGATCCACATTTGTGACATCCGTAGTCTGGCTTGGAGTTGGAGGATTTCTTTTGAAAGTTTATGGAGTTCCGACTATTTCTGTTGAACATTCGCTTGTAATGTCTTACCAACATTTCAGCCTCTTCTTCATCTACTTTAGAATCCTTTTGATCAGCCTTTAGAGCCAGCCCTTTGTTGTTGTTTCCTTCACTACTGCTAGTTCCTAGATGGAGCTCATGTGTCATAAGTGAACCAGCAAGTTGTTCAATGTTGAATGTTGTAAAGTCCTTTTTTTCCTAGAAGGCAGTCACCTTGGCTCTCCAACGTTCATCTTGAGGCAAGCTCCTGAACACTTTTCTAACCTGTTCATCTGTAAGAATTTTTCTACCAAGAGAAACTAGTTCATTAATAATGTTAGTAAATCTAGGAAGAATTTCTTGGATAGATTCTTTGGGTTGCATCTCAAAACGTTCATATTTGGACATAAGCAAGTCAATTTTTAAACGTTTTACTTCATTGGTTCCTTCATAGGTAACCTAAAGCAGATCCCAAATTCCCTTACCATTCTTACACCCCATAACACGATTGTGCTCATGTGGTCCGAGTCCACAGTGAAGTAGCTTAACATCCATAGCATTAATTTCTATTTTATCAAAGTCTTCCTTCTCAAATTCAGACATTGGTTTAGGAATTACCTCATTCTGAGCATTGGTTTTGGTTACTTCTAAATCTCCTACCTCGATGACTCTCACGACTTGATAATTTTCTGCTTTGATGAAGATTTCCATCCTATTCTTCCAATATGTGTAGAATTTCCCGTTGAACATAGGAGGTCGTTGAGTAGAGTATCCTTCTATGAGTTTTTCAAGAGTATTAATCTTGTGCTAAGATTCTCCTCTTTAGGGTGTCCTGATTTCGAGAGGATTAGGCTCTTATACCAATTGTTACCGTAGAAGAATACTACAAGAGGGAGGTGATTTGTAGTAAGAGAGAATTTAGCTAACTTTTTTGCAGAATTGATAAAACTAAGCTAAAGGAACTCAAAATTCATACAAAGAGATTTTACGTGGAAAACCTCTTGGCCCTAACAAGAGGAAAAACCACAACCAGTTGGGATTTTAGAAAAGATTCTTCACTATAATAGGGCAAACAACCTATTACAAGCTAAAGGATCTAGCTTCAAGTTCCTCTACGAGCTTGGAGTTCCCTAACAGCAAGTCCCTCTACTTGCTGCTCTGCTCTTCTCTCTCTTTCTCTACTGACTTCTCTTAGAGTTCACTCAAACCTTCAATTCCCAATTACAACATTGAAAAATAGTACTCTAGTGAAAGTAATTAGAAAAATTAACAACTTAAGAAGAATGGGACACTTGAGTCTTTTTGAAAACAAGAAAGATAGAAAGATATTATTGAGAAAGGTGAAGTTTTCCAAAGAACAACTTCGATATTTATAGGAAAACATAGCATGATTAAAACGCCACAACTTCCACCACTTACGCCACCACTGCTGCACATCAACGCCACTTTTTTACACCACTACCAGAGCTTCAATTATGTCCTAGAAACTAGGACACTTTAAAACTCTAGAAGCAATTTCTTCATTAGTGGAGAAGACTGATTCAACAGTTAGTTGCACAAGTTTAGGTGGTTAGTTTATTCAATCTTTTTGAAGATATTTTTTCTGAAATAAAAGGATATCAAATTGAGATAAGATTAGAAAAGATATTTTCTGAAACCATCTTTCCTAATTTTTAGCAACCAAAGAAATTCAATCTTTTTAAACCAAATTAAAATCGCATTCCACTTATTATCAACTCCTAATTATTCTCATTACATAAAACCTGAAATATAAAATATTTTAGACTTTAATTCTCTAAGAAGTCTCTGCTCCGAGTCTTCATTTTTAAGCTTTTGCTCCGAAGCTTCAGCTCCTTTACAGGAACACTACAACAAGTTTCTAATCCTTTAGCTCTTGTTCTTTTGCCTCGAATTACTCCTGCACTTTAGCATAAGCAACTACAAAACTTATCAAGGCATTAATCCATTGACTTGTGTATAATCAAAACATCAAGGGCAACAATTCATTTATAGAAAGATAAATGTTCAAGTACGTATATTAGAAAATTTACACTTAATGGAAAATTTTTTGTGCTTATTTGTAATAGTTAATGCAAAATTTAGATGAATATTATTAGGCTTCGTTGAATGACACAGAAACTAATGATGTTAAAATGGAAGTTTTGAATTAAGTAGAGAAAAAGTGAAGAGAAACACTGGAGAGAGAAATGAATTTGAAATTAAAAGTTTTTGAGGATTTATTTTATTAAATAGTACAAAATATTTACGTTATTTTGTTTTAAATATACATTATTACGTTACTATGTTATTCCAAAAGTATATAATACTAGTTATTAAAAATGAAATTGAAGCAAGGCCTGAAGTCATCTAAGAATTCACACCACATCCGGATGCAAGGGTACCAAACGATATTTTTCAGCTCATTTAATATTTCTCAAGTCATTTAGTAGGTTCATACATCAATTACGCAATTTTAATGTACCCAAATAAAATTAGAGCAAACATGAAGCACGCAAATTCAAAAGTGCAAAAGGGTGCCGGCACCGTTAAATTAATGAATTTTGTACATCATAACATACACCATAACAAGACTTGATCAATAATTTACAATATTTTTGGTCCCAATAAAAAAATACTTATTGTGTCAAACCCGCATGTATATTTCTAGAATCATGACTTTGATGATTCCTTTAACTTTCCTACCTTTCTTGAACAATTCTTTAGTCCACGTTTTGTCTCAATTTTCTTCACAAATATTCCTTTGCATATATTATTGTTTTCTTTGAACTCCTTGAAGTTTTGAAAATTCCACTTTCTCCCTTAAACTCTATCCCCCGACCACCTAAAGGCTGATAACCGATGATGTTTGGTTGGCGTGAAGCGTTAATTACTGCGATTTTCGCCGGACTTATGGTGATCATTTTCTTGATTCTGATGATTCGTCGAAAGTCTAATTTAAGGAGTGTTGCAACACAGCGCCATGAACAAGAAGTCAGAGGAGTCGAAACAGAGGTTAAAACGACACCGTTACAGACAGAAGAAAACAGCAAGAGAAGGCTAAGTTCTCATTTCTTCCGCCGTGGTTCGTCTACAAAATCTTTCTTCAATTGGGCTGATCATCCAGCTTTGATCACCGACGCTGTCGAGAATGGATGGTCACGATTTGCCTTTAATAGTCACGTGTCGAGTTCTCCGTCTGTTAGATCATCTTTATTTGGGAGTCTGCGACTTACAGGGGATTTTTACAGCAGCAGAGAAAATAGCAGTAGCAGTATTAATAACTCGACTAGTATTAATGAGGTTGAAGAGAGTTGGGAAATTGGTTCAGGATCAGTTGATTTTATGCAAAAGTTGTCCTTCAAAATAAAAGGCTTAAACCATGGTGGTGGAGCCGTGGCTGCAAGTTTATCTTCGGTGGCGAAATCGGTGGGGAGGATGGCGTTACCTTTGCCAGGGCCACCAATGGTTCAATCCTTTCCGCAAGAAGCGTATTTTGAGATAAATGTTTTGAACTCAAATGAAGATAATGTTAAGTTTACTGGTGAAGGTGAAAAAACGAAGCTGCTGTTTCAGCGGAGTTTTTCTTCTACGGCAAGTTCGGGGATTGGTAAGACGCAGGAAGGGTTGTTTCATGTGAGTAGTAGCCGAGGGTCTCACTTGTTAGAGGAGTTGAAAATCGGTGGTGGTTGCCGAAGAGGAGGAGGAGGTGGTGGTGGTGTGAATATATCAATAGGACTGAGTGTTGGGGGTTTTGTAACGACTAGGATTCCTGGGAGCTATCCTGGCTCTATTGGATTCAATTCTGATGGTTCTGTTTTTCTTGGAGGTATGTTTCATTTTTGTCTTGTTTACTTTATTTATTTATTCATTTATTACTATTATTATTATAATTATTATTATTATTATTATTATTATTATTATTATTATTATTATTATTATTATTATTATTATTATTATATATCAAAAACAAAAGTCATACAACTTACAATAAATTAGTGGGAAGCCGAGTTACAATTTGGGCTCCACTTTTCTAGTTATAGCAAAGCCTACCAAAGTGAAGATATGAGCTGCAAGCGTGCAACACGAGCCCCAATGTCTTGCGTCGTCGAGAACCTCTGAATCCGCTTCAGCATCGTAACAGTCTCCTTCTCTAATTCCGCAAGCGAAGAAAAGGAGAAGGGAATAAAACCATATTCAATCGCCCGACAACGAGCTTCATACTTAACCCGCTTCCGATGAGCCGCATCTGCCACAACCCGTCCAGGAATAAAGTCAGATAGCCCTGTATGCGTGAAAGAAGAAGACCCTGTGAAGTCGACACATACATCACGACCACGATCCCATGAATAAAGTAACACATCGGCAGGTCTGAGGGCCCCGTCATTCCCTCCAGACAATCCTATGTCAACCTCCTTTCTAGCTGTAATCCCTGATAGATAGCAAATATCAACAAAGGTATCCCAAACAACGTTAAGCCGATGTTTAATGCCTACAATGCCAACACACGACACCACGTGGTCGCTGAAAATATCTCCAGTAAAAACCCTTGAACAAGTAGAGCACGGCATCGAGACAAAGAATAAAGGAACACCCAAGCGGTAGCACAACACACATCAGTATGTCTTTGCGTTAATCGACTGACCCAGAATTAAGAACTGCCCGAAGCCAAGTAGAGGTGTGATATCCTTGCTGCGATTTCCACAACGTTGATTGACGAGGAGATAAAGTGAAGGCGGATTCTGCAGATGCGATAACCTTTGTGAAATATATATCTGCCAATTTCTTCATAAGTTTAGGGGCAGAGACCTCACTACGATTACTCAAAATGTCACACCCTACCGTTCCATTAAACAGACTCACCGCATAACGATACGCTCCAAGGACGATCGAATAGCCTAATCAAAAGCGCGTTGAGCCACCACAAAAGTACCAAGAGGACAATTACGCCAGGATAAGTAGTCTGGAAACTCCGGTACATGCCCTAGGCAACGCCAACTACACTAGGGATCATCGAGCTTAGCAACCCTATCCATTAGAGCAATGGTCTTGGTCACCTTCTACATCATAAGGTCACCTCCAAAAGTGGGATCAGAACTAGCGGGATCGCCAATCAGTTTCACACCATGTGAAGGTCGAGTAATATGAGGAGGAAAGACACCCACAAGCCTGCTTCGAGGGTCCACTGAAAGCCAAAAACTTCAGTTTTTTACACATTGAGGTATAACCCAAGTCGAGGTCTTTCCTCCATAAATGCAGAACCTTCCTCACCACCAAGATGTCACCAATAATAGTGTCGTCATCCAAATACCACGCCTGAAGACATAAGTCAAAAGCATCTATGATTTTACAAACCAAAGGCTATAAAACCAAAGCAAAAAGTAGAGGGCCAAGGGGATCAACTTGCTGCACTCCTTGACACGACCATAAGGATTGGTCCCCATAATATAATATAGCTGGATTAGAATAGCAGAATTCAACCCACCGCAAAATGCCCGAAAAACGACGATAATCTTCACGTAACATGACCGTTCGATCAAAAGATTAAAGGCATTTTGAAAATCCACCAACAACGATTCACAGCATGAAGAATTGCCTCACCACCTGAAGAAACCCCAACATCAAATTCAAGACCATCAAAGTAACTTTCTAAAGATTAGCCAACCATAACAACACCCACCTTCGAAACCAGACGCCGCCAAATAATACCCACAGCTATTGAACGAATACCACCACCATGCTTGATAAGTGGTGTAAGAGGAGAACTAGCAATATACTCTCCTAGTTCCATAGGACAATTTCCAGCTAGAAAAAGATTAAGCACCCCGAAAATGGATTCAACTAACTCATCTGATACAGACACAACACCACCAATCAAGCAATCCATAAGGTGCTGAGCACATAATCCGCAAGAGTGGCGTTATTATAAGGAGCAACGCCTGAAGAAGAAAGAACCTGAACTGCTGCAGTGTAATGACCATCACAAATCTTCCTATGACATTTCTTGATATTACGCTCCTCTAAATCAAGGTCCTCATCATCAACCTTTGATAAAGTAGGAGAATCCTCTGCCAATGTATCCCTCACAAGTAGGGATGGCAATGGGTCGGGTCCACTGAGACCCAGACTCGGAATTTTGAAGGTGGAACCAGATCTGACTCAGACCCACTAGGTCTAAAAAAATCAGACCCAGATCCTTCGGGTCTAGCGGGTCTCGGGACTAAAACGGGTACAACTATGATTTTTATTAATATTTATAATTTTGTATATATATTATAAATATATAATTATACTACTACTTCAAAATAATAAAAGGATGCATTAAAAAAATTGTTCATATATTTGACACACTAATAATTTGTTCATTAAAAAGTAAAGACAATGTAAGAAGAAAAAAATCATATTATGCTAAAACTTAATTTCTTGGTTACTTGCTGTTTTATTTGCTCACTTTCATAAAAGTCTATATTCTCAACCTCTAATTACATAGTATATTAAGTTATTTTTTAATAATATTATAACTAATATAATATATATTAATTATTTATAAAATAAAATAAAAATGGGTCCATGCATGGGTCGAATCTGGGCCGGGTCTGGGTCTACAATTTTTAGACCCGAACCCAGACCCAGACCCGACCCATTAAGCTTAGACCCATATCCGACCCAGACCCATCAGGTCTAAAAATTAAGGACCCAAACCGTAAAATATGGGTCGGGTCCAACCGGGTCTGGGTCGGGTCATGGACCCATTGTCATCCCTACTCACAAGCTGCAAATTACCACCTGGTGCACTCCATGAAAAAATAGCACGGGAGATACTCTCTTCTTGATGCCGACGTTTTACCGAAGACCTAGACTCTAAGCTGATTCGTGAGCGAAAGGTTGAGACCCAACTAGAAATATCATCAGGCCTAGAGATCACCTTATCAAGGGCACCTTTGGAAACCCGAGAAAAACCCCAAACGACACTTGGGAGGTATAGACTTCACAATACAAAATCCCTTGGAGAACAAACCATCAAGAAAAGCCACATCAAAACCACAATGTTGATCTTACATGCGTCCAAGCTGAGCCTAAAAGGAGGGAGCTTGCGGCTTGGAGAAACCATAAAGCACAAAACGAACTATACCATCTCCTTCATCTGGAGGTGACACAAACTCAATCGGACTATGACGACACTTAGTACGATGCGTATGCATTTTGTAGCAAACCCCACATAACCAAATATCCATACGTGAAAAAGTAATTTCAGCGTCATTATAAATAGCCAAATTAGAAGTAAGAAATGACGTGTGATATCACGTGCACCAATATAAAAATGACGATCACTAAGATGCTTGAGAAGTAAGGTTATTGCCACTTCCATCTTGACAAGAACTAATAAGACCCACAAAGGGACAATGAAACTTAACCGGGCAGCCGACATAGCTACACACAGTCACCACCAGACTACCCAAGCTGCTAACACCAACAAAGCCGATACGATATAAAACAACGAAGTACAACAAATCAAATTATGCTGCAAAAAGCTTCCAAAACTGACCAGAAAATAGCACGAAGCTTACACCAAAAACTACCAGCACCCTAAGCGCAGCAAAACTGACCAGAAACTGCCAAAAAACAGACCTAAAACTAGAGCCAAAATGCACAAAAATAGTCACAATCGAGCATGAAAACTGATAAGAAAAAATAGTCGCCCGAAATTAGTGTAACCTGTCTAAAGCCAATCCAAAAAAATGCCTGAAAACTACCCGTGAAACACCTTGAAAACTGCCTTTTACACGCCTGAAAATAACCCAAAACCAAGGAAATTGCACCAAAAACTGCCCCCAAAACCAAAGGGATATTGCCTGAATAGCCAGCAATTATACCCAAAACACACACGAATAACGCCTGAAATTCGCCCCAAACCACACCTGAAAATAGAGCAGAATGACGCCTGAAAAACGCCAGAACGACGCCTGAAAACAGAGCAAAGCTTCGCTTGAAAATCCACCAAAATTGGATGCAAAACACCATGAAATACACCTAAACCGCAACTTAAACCGTCTGAGACCAAACGCCAGGAAAACCTAATAAATCAACGGGAAAACTTGACCAGAATGCTGGAAGAAATGCCCTAAAGCCACGCACACTCAACCCAAATAAGAATCCTTTACGAAGAGATCTTTACGCTACACCCGTATGACGATAGAACTAGACGACGACAACGTTGATGATACACTCGCCTAAGAGACTGGAGAAAATCCCCGCCTGATACTCCGGAGAATGTAACCGACGCCGGAAAATCCACCCCTCAGCCCTAACAGAATCACCTAACGGGAGAGAATTTTTTGCTATTATTATTATTATTATTATTATTGTTATTATTTAATAAATTTTCATTAAAAAATTATATCTATCTATAAAAATATATAAAGTTAAAGGGGGGTTTTGGGTGATAAATTTTTCTTTCCCAAAATACCCCTCTCATCTTTTATTTTTTTTAAATAAAAATAAATAAAAAAATAAAAAAAAACCTACCTTCATTTTTTTTTTGAAAATAACTACCATCAATAAATAATTAAAATAAAAAAACTACCATTCTTTATTAAAAGTTAAGAAAATTTGTTAATTACTACCTCAAAAAGGGATCCTTTGTGAATTACTACCCTAAAAAAAAAAGTTGTTAATTACTACCCAAAAAACAAATTCATTCTAGTAACTACTACCTTTTTTCTTAATCAACCTACTTAAGCTCTTAATGACATCATTATTTGTCTAAATTTTAATTAATAGCTTTTAAACCTTAATTAATCAGATAAACCCTTGCACCACCTCTGGCAGCCCTCCTTTACCACCTCCGGCGGCTCCCCCTCTACGAAATCCACTCTCTCTTTGTCATCCACCAAAAAACTCACCTCCATTGCGAAACCCACCGCAATTACCGCCCCTTCCTTTGCCCCAAACCTTAAAACCCACCCTTCCCCTTTCCTCAACCCTGATTACCGCCTCTTCCCTTCTTCTAGCCCCCGGAAATAGCCCATCCACGGGA